AAAGTTGTACTGGAGTTTAGTTCAGAAAGTTCTGGAGGTGAGTTTGGAAGCCAGCTTAGTTTCTCTACTGAAGTAGTTCAAAGCAGATGAGGGACTAAATACCTCAGCAGCACGTTTCAATTTGTGAAAATTCCAAACCAGGAGCGTTTGGTTACATAACAGAGAAAGTTTAAGCTTCCAGATTTGAGAAAATTTGAGATTTGGTAAATTTGGAAAGGACTCGTCAAAGTGCACGGTTCACAGAAGAGTACATGGAAGGAGTCAGGTTAGTAGAAGCTTAAGGAACAGAGATAAGGGGTGCAATTTCTCTGAACTCGAGTCTCTGTAAGGGATGGTTTCAGGAAATGGACTGCAACATTGATTGCAAAATACACAGCAAAGCATTCTATCATATTTTTAGATAGCTTTATTTGGTTTTTTTTCTTTTTGTAACAAACATCAATTGTGTTGTTAAAGAAAATCTGCAGCCTCGTGTGAATGTAACAAGCTAAACAAAACAAACATATAATCTACCAAGCCAGATCTGATGTATTCAGTGGTAGCATTAGCTAAGGTCATAGTATACATTAAAGTTAACTTGCGACTTAACCCAGTTGCAGGCTTTCTGCCTTTTCCTATTAAAATTGTATTAGCCTCAGTTACCTACACCACATCCACCCCAAGCATGTTAATTTGAATAATCTGATATAGTTAGTTTTTCCAAAAAATAAATCATTAATGTCAATTATAAACAGTGCTCCCAGAACTCATCCATGTTAAGCAGCACTTTCTAATTCCCCATCACTTTTTATTCATTCATTGATTGTGGGTGTCGCTGTCTTCTGGGCCAGTAGTTATTGTCCATCCCTAACTATCCTCGAGAAGCTGTTAGGAAGTTCCAGGATGACACTGAAGGAACAACGATATATTTCCAAGTCAGGATGGAGTGTGGCTTAGAGGGGAACTTGCAGTGGTCGTGGGTTTGGAAGGTGCTGCTAAAGAACTTTGATACACAGAGAGATCTGGGTGTTCAGGTCCATTGTACCTGAAGGTGGCAACGCAGGTCGATAGAGCGGTCAAGAAGGCATATGGCATGCTTTCATTCATCGGATGGGGTATTGAGTACAAGAGTTGGCAGGTCATGTTACAGTTGTATAGGACTTCGGTTTGACCACATTTGGAATACTGCGTACAGTTCTGGTCGCCACATTATCGAAAGGATGTGGATGCTTTGGAGAGGGTGCAGAGGAGGTTCACCAGGATGTTGCCTGGTACGGAGGGCGCTAGCTATGAAGAGAGGTTGAGTAGATTAGGATTATTTACATTAGAAAGATGGAGGTTGAAGGGGGGACCTGATTGAGGTCTACAAAATCATGAGAGGTATAGACAGGGTGAATAGCAAGAAGCTTTTTCCCTCCCAGAGTGGGAGACTCAATTACTAGGGGCCACAATTTCAAGGTGAGAGGGGAAAAGTTTAAGGGTGATATGGTTGGAAAGTTCTTTACGCAGAGGGTGGTGAGTGCCTGGAACGCGTTGCCAGCGGCAGGCACGATAGCGTCATTTAAGATGTATCTAGACAGATACATGAATGGGCAGGGAGCAAAGGGATACAGATCCTTGGAAAATAGGCGACAGGTTTAGATAGAGGATCTGGATCGGTGCAGGCTTGGAGGGCCGAAGGGCATGTTCCTGTGCTGTAATTTTCTTTGTTCTTGTTCTTGAACTTGTAGGTGGTACATACTGCTGCTACTGAGCATCGGAGGTGGAATCAGTAGAGGTCTGTGGGATGTGGTGTCCTAAAGAACACATCCAATTCAGTGGTGCTGAACACTGAAGTTCCCCAACCAGATTATATTCTGTGCCTTTTCCACCCTCAATGCTTCCTTGGTGCTGATGGTAATCAGATTTCCTTACCCAGGTCTGACCTGATGCCATGAGACTTCATGGGGTCCAAAATCAAAATTGAGGACTCTCAACACAACTCCCTCCAAACCGTACACCACTGTGCCACTTTCCTCAGCTAGGTCTGTCCTGCCAGTGGGACAAGACACAATCAGGGATAGTGATAGTCATGTCTGGGATACCATAAGGTATGACGCTGCAAACGTGACTATTTCAGGCATTGTTTGACTAGTCTGTGGGACAGCTCTTTGAAATGTAACACTAGCCCCCAGGCACTGGGGAGGAGGACTTTCCATGGTCAACAGGGCTATTTTTGCCATTGTCGTTTCAGATGCAAAGTGGTCGGTCCACTTTTATTCCTTTCTTTAGGCTTTGTATCAGTTTCATACAACTGACTGACTGAGTATTTCCATCTCTGACTTATGAATTTCTTAAATATTGAGGGGCTAGCAAGTGTTGAAGTTTGAAGGAATTTTGGTGGTATTGTTCATTGATAACTGAAACTTTTCAAAAATATATCCACCTAGAAAATAGAACAGTACAGGCCCTTTGGCCCAACGATGTTGTGCTGACCTATTATCCTACTCTAAGATCAAACTAACCTGCATACCCTACATTTTACTATTATCCATGTACTTATCCAAGAGTCGCTTAAATGTCTCAAATGTATCTGACTCATTACCACCGCCAGCAACGCATTCCACACACCCACCACTCTTTGTGTAAAGAGCCTACCTCTGACATCTTCCCTATACCTTCCTCCAATCACCTTAAAATTATCCTCCCTCGTAATAGTCATTTCTGCCCTGGGAAAAAGTCTCTGACAGTCCATTTTATCTGTGCCTCTCATCATCTTGTACACCTCTATCAAGTCACCTCTCATTCTTCTTCGCTCCAATGAGAAAAGCCCTGGCTCCCTCAACCTTTCTTCATAAGACCTGCCCTCCAGTACAGGCAGCATCCTGGTAAATCTCCTCTGCACCCTCTCTAAAGCTTCCACATCCTTCCTATAATGAAGTGACCAGAACTGAACATTATATTCCAAGTGTGATCTAACCAGGGTTTTGTACAGCTGCAGCATAACCTCGCGGCTCTTAAACTCAATTCCCCTGCCAATGAAAGCCAACACACCATACGCCTTCTTTACAACCCTATCAACTTTGGTAGCAACTGTAAGGGACCCCTCTGTTCCTCCACACTGACCGGAATCCTGCCATTAACGCTGTATTCTGCATTCAAATTTGACCTTCTAAAATGAATCACTTCACACTTTTCTGTGTTGAATTCCATCTGCCACTTCTTTGCCCAGCTCTGCATCCTGTCAATGTCCTGTTGCAACCTACAACACCTGTTCAGACATTTTTTTGACAAATTCAGGACAGGTGGAACTTGATCCTGACCTGCTGACCAGGGACATTATTACTATCCCACAAGAGACCCAGTATCACTAAAAGTTAAAAATATAAGTACAGAAAGCAATTAAGGCAGCAACTGGTATACTGGCCATTTTAACAAATTGTTTCTGAACTCAAAACAAAGATATGTTACTGAAATTATACAAAGATAATCGATAAGACCACAATTGGAGTTTTGATCTCCTTATCGAGTCACAAAGAGAGTGCAAACATTTACCAAACTAATTTCTGGGATGGAGAGATTGTACAATGATGAAAGATTAAATAGACTGGGACTATACTGTCTGGAGCTTAGAAGAATGAGGGGTGCTTTTATTCAAACATGCAAAATTCTTACAGGATGGAGGTGGACTGATAGAGGAAAGATGTTTCTGGAAGGAGCAGTGTGTACTAAAAGCACATGGCAGTTTCAGAATAAAGGGGTTGACCATTTAAGAGCGAGTTAGGAGGAAATTCTTCACTTGGAAGATGGTTAGTCTTTGGAATTCTCTGCCCCATAGGATCTTGGAGGCTCAGTTGCCAAGTGCTTGCAAGAAAAAGCTTGATACATTTCTACATTTTTATTTAAATATGTAATGTATGACACTGCAAGTATGACTATTTCAGGCATTGCTTGACTAGTCTGTGGGACATATCTTCCAATTTTGACAGCAGTCCCCAGACATAAGTAAGGAGGACTTTGCAAGGACTGTTAAGAAAATGAAGTAGAAAATCAGATATGATCTCACCGAATGACAGAAGGGAGCTGATTGGCCTCCTCCTCCTCCTCCTCCTCCTCCTCTACGTTACAGCTTAGATTTATATAGCACCTTTAACAATCAGCTATCAACATAGGTAGATGATTGGCTAACTAATATGAAATAGTTGGGATAAGGGGACATTTTCAGGATGGCAACCTATAACTAGTGAAGTGCCACAGGGGTCAGTACTGGGGCCACAATTATTTACAATATATGTTGACTTGGATAAGGGAGGTGAATGTATAATAGTCAAATGTCCAGATTAGATGTGGGAAGGCTAGTACAGAAGATGACACAAACATAGTCTACAGAGAGAAACAGAACAGTTAAGCTGGTGGGAATAAAACTTAGCAGACGGTATATGATTTGACAGGTTGAATAGAAGAACTTAATATTAATGAAATGTAATAAGGCTATAAAAAAAAAACCTGCAGCACAAAGTGATTTGGAAAACTTTGTGTATAAATCACGAAAAAAGTTAGCACCTAAATTTATCTGGTAATCAGGAAGGCAAATGGAATATTGACCTTCATTTCAAAGGCAGTGGAGTATAACGATAGAGAAGCCTTATTAAAACCATACAAGCACTATTTTGACTGCATTGTAAATAGTTTAGTCCCCTCATCTACAGAAAGATATACTGGCTTTCAGAGGCAATCCAGAGAAGGCTCACTAGGTTAATCCCAGGTACGGAGGGACTGTTTTAGGAGGAGAGATTGAGTAGTTTGGACCTGTTTTTCTTCGAATTTAGAAAAATAAGAGGTGACCGTACTGAAATACGGAAGATGATTTTCCAGGGCTTGACAAGGTAGAGGAGGAGAGGCTGAGTCCCCTTGTGGCACAGTTTAGGACCAGAATGTATGACCTCTTATTCTGAGTTTATACATTTCAGACAGAAATGAAGAGAAATTTCTTTTCTCAAAGGAAAGAGAATTTGTGGAATTCTTTACCGCACAGAGCTGATGAGGCAGAAACTGATTTTTAATCTGTTAGGGAACCAAGAGTTATGGGGAAAAGGCAGGAAAGTGGAGTGGAGCATTAGCTCATGGAGTCCAGACTGCCATTCGATCAGCTAAATGGCCTACTTCTGCTCCTACATTTTATGGCCTTGAGTTCTAAGTTCATTATACCACAGACCAGTCACCGTACAATATCCATTTCCCACATCTTTCAAAAGCCATCCTTTAGAGAGGCTTGGGCCATCTCTCACAAGGGACAGTGTGTTAGGGGCTGTCTGCAGCAATGCTTCTGCTCTACACGTATTTTGCAAAGCTGCTTCTTGTTGATGTGACTCCATAATGTCCATGTGCATCATCCAAAACTTCAACTGCCAATTCTCCAACATTGGTAATGCCACTAGGATCACTGTACAAAGGCAATCAATCCATCCTGCACATCATAAGCACATCAAGTTTAATGTAGAACATAACCAACATTGCTCATCGCAGTGCTCTGACTGCTGTAGAATCAAATTCTGGTAGTACTAGTTGAGAGAAATACTTCTGGCCAAGGTGGCGGTGGACCTTTTCTTCGGGTAACTGCACAGGAATACAAACATTGATCAGTACAGGAAGATCAATCCTCAGTTCAATATCTCAACCTGAAAAAACCTCGGACAGTGAAACATTCCCTCGCGATAACACTGGGAGTTTGAACTAAAAACCATGTGACTTAGGGCTCAGTGTGTGAACAAAATAGTCAAGTAAATTGATGGTTCACCTCAATTTTGCCTATGATTTCCCCTGATAATGTGCCACACCCTCGTGCTGTGATACCTGTGATCTTGATCACCCTCACAGCTTCCCCTGATCCTCTGTCCTGTTCCACTCGTTCCTCCCCACCTTGTTCTGCAGAATAAAACCCACTGGCTTTCCATCTCCCCTTCAGTTCCAAAGCAGAGTCACACTGGGCATAAAACATCGACTGTCTCTCTTTCCACAGACCTGCTGAGGTTATCCAGTTCTGTTTTTGTGTGACTGTATAGACAGTCAATAACGTGGTCAACTTTTACCTGCTTTCTGAAATGGCCTAGCAAACCACGCAGTTCTGAAACAATAAATAATGGTCTTGCCAGTAATAATCACATCCCACAAAGAAGAAAAGAAATATGAACAGGCAGTAGGGTGATTTCTTTTTCAGATCTGAAGGAGGCTCAGGGCTTGGTCCGGGTGGTGCACTAATCAAGAAAACCATAGGAAGCTTCAAACAAGCAGTCCTGAAGCCAGTGAAAATCTTCACGGATGCCAAAACCTATCAGGGTGTGGGTATGAACCAACTTGCCAAGTTCTGCCCACTGTCCTCCTACAGACCCACACTGGTAGCACAATGCCAAAATTTTACAATACTCATCCTTGACTTCAAAGCACTCCAGAGTCATGCCCTTCCTTAACTCCAACTCCTCCTGCCAACAATCCTCCAAGATATACATACTCCTCAGTTGTGGCCTATCCTGACTTTGTGACTCCATTGCTGGCCATGCCTTCAGTTGCTTTTACAGTAAACTCAAATTCCATTCTCAAATCTTTCCATCTCTCTTATATCCTTTTTGAAAGCACTCCAGAAGAGGAATCTCTGTGACAAAACGCATATCACCTCCATAGTTATTGCCAAATTGTTTGATAATGGCCCCATGAATCACCCTAGTACGTGTTGCAGTATTAACAGATGCTAGATATGTGCCGCTGTGCCCATTTATCATTCAGCAAGTAATACTCTGGTTTTAAATTGCTTGAATTTTTCACAATGAGCACCTGATTATCAAAGGAATCCACAAACTGCAACATCAGCAGAGACTCACCAACACTATTCAATTTAATCTGTCGCTCTTAAGGAACGAAGAGAAATAACTGCATTAACTTAATAATGTTCACATCTTCCAGGTTTTCCAAAGGACTTCAGTGAATGGGATATACTGCTGCAAATTTCATCACTGTTGTTTAATAAATATATCTGGTCCAGCCCACCTTCTCTCTAGCCCCCTCACTCATTTACATAATGGTAGGACCTGCTGCCACCTAGAATGCTCTTTTGATCAGGTTAGCTCCAAGGCAGAACACTGCGGCTATAAATTCCACTTCTAATCTCCACATATTCCAATGTGACATATAGGCTGTCGAGGGATGTTTCTACTTGTTAGGGTGGAAGACCAAAACTAAAAACCACATGTATAAGATAGTCATAATTCAGGAAGAGTATCTTTCCCCAGAGAGCAGTGAGAATGTGGAACTCCATACCACAGGGAGGCAATTAGTGCATGAAAGAAAGAAGTAGTTAGGCTGATGGAGAGTGAAGTGGTAGGATGGGAAACATCAGTTTGGAGCATAAATAACAGGTGGATTGGCTGAGCTAGCGGGCTACTCCTGTGCTCTAAATGCTGAATAATTCTGTGCAGTTTGTTGAGGTTGGATGGCTCGCCGGCCGAGCTGGTTTCTTGTTTCAACCTCAACACCCACAACCCGAGCTACAAATCTACTCCAAAACCTTAGAAATTCTGTGCAGTATTCTAACTGTTTCAGGTAGACATTAAAAGTGCTGGTTTCAGAGCACAGTAAATCTTCCAATAATCCTTTCACAGTCAACATTGACAGCACACTGGTCAGCTGTTCCCTCGGATATTGCCACGTGCAATCTAACAGCCCTTGGGAGGTGATAGCCTGGTATTATAACTTGACTAGTGATCCAGGTAATGTACCAGGGACCCAGGTTCAAACCCTACCATGCAGATGGTGGAATTTGAATTCAACAAAAACACCTGCAACTAAGAGTCTACTGATGACAATGAAAGCATTATTATTTGCCAGAAAAACCCCAGCTGGTTCACTAATGTCCTTTAGGGAAGGAAATCTGCCATCCTTACCTGGTCTGGCCTACACGTGACTCCAGACCTACAGCAAAGTCGCTGACTGTTAACTACACCCTGGGCAATTAGGGACCTCAATATGCTAACCGAGCCAGCAATGCACATTTGAATGAATTTTGTTTTAAAAGTGCCAGCAAATTCAAAGTGATGTCAGTGCACAGGCAGCACCTTGGAATGTTTCAGCAGTCTTAAGTATCCATCCATTAGAGCAGCACAGTGACTCAGTGGCTAGCACTGCTGCCTCACAGCACCAGAGACCCGGGTTCAATTCCACCCTCAGGCAACTCCTGTGTCTGTGTGGGTTTCCTCCCATAGTCCAAAGATGTGCGGGTTAGGTGGATTAGCCATGGGAAATGCAGGGTTACAGGGATAAGGTCGGGGGTGGGTCTGGGTGGGATGCTCTTCCAAGTTTGTGTATGAACTTGATAGGCCAAATGGCCTGCTTCCACACAGAAGGGATTCCATGATTCTATGAGCATGGCTCAGTCGTTACCACTCTCACCACTTGACCTTTAAAAGAAGGTTAGATGTCATTCCGAGATCTGAGCACAACCTGTTTCAGACGCAAAGTTGAACAGCTGCCCATTCTGCTCTGTCAGGTGGACAAGAAAAAAATCCTGATGGCACTGTTTGTAAGAACCGCAAGGGAGGTATCCCCATTGCTTCAGCAAATGTGTCCCCAAAATGAAATTCCTATTAGATACATTGCAGTAAAACATCCAAAACACTGTTAGAGGATCAAACTAAACCTTGGTCAAAAGGAGGATGTTGAAACATAAGGAGATAAACAGATTTTTAATTAGCAATGTCTTAAAGGGTTATGGAGAGCAGGCAAGAAAGTGGAGTTGAAGCCAAGATGAGATCAGCCATGATCATATTAAACGGCAGAGAAGGTTTGAGGGGCTGGTTTGCATATACCTGCTCCCAGCTTTGATGTTTTTGAAAGAGGCTCTGAAAGATGCAGCAGTGAGATGATATTTAGGGAGGGAGCCTACAGCTTGCCCAGGGAGGTAAAGGCATGGTCGCCAATGGCCTGGTGATTAAAATCAAAAATGCTCAAGAGGCCAGAATTAAAGGAGCACAGATATCTCAGAGGACTTTGGAGTTGGAGGTGATTACACACAAGGAGAGACGAGGTCATGGAGGGATTTGAAAGCAAAGATGGAAAATTTTAAAACTGAAATGTTGCTCAAGAGAGAAAAAAAAACAAGCAAATACAACTTGGCATAACAGAAAGCAGATTTTGGGATGACTTCCACGTTTACCAAAGGAGACTGGTCAGGTACTTGTTGCAAAGATCAATCTTAGAAGCAAAGGCATGAATGAAGGTTCCAAGCAGGGGAAGCTGGGTAATGTGACAGAGGTGAGAATAGGGGATCACAGTATCTCAACTCAGGGTCAAGGTTTCAGAGAGAGGTGGCCAGGGAAGACAGTTTGTGTCAGGAACAGAAGAAAATGACTACAATCTTCCCAATATTTCAGCTGGATAAAATTACTGTTGTTCAATATTTGATTTTTGACAAGCAATCTGAATGGAGGAATCAAATGAGGTGGGGGGAAGCTGGGTGTTGTCAGCATGCTAGAAGAAACTGATACGTACAAAACAAATCAAGAACCAAATTGGTCCTCCATGTCCTCAGCAATTCAATAAGACCACGACTGATCGGTTTGTCTTCCAAATTCCTCATACTAACCAACTTGTGTTAACATTAGATTCCCTTGCCCAAGAAGGATCATCCTCTACATTCACCTTAAAACATTCAATGGCTCTGCTTCCGCCACCTTTTGAGGTAGACAATTCCAGAGTCACGTAACACACAAAAAATTTCCTAATCTCTTTCTAGAAAAATACTTAAAAGATACTGTCCCCTGCTGATACTGAAGTTTCAGACCATGTCACCAAGGGGGAGCAATAGATGGAGTTTCACCTGCTGATCTATATTATGTGTATGTTAAGAAGGGAAGAACATTACTTTAGTTTCTTTTTTGAGTTTGAGTCTGGTTATGGGCAAAGTTTTATGAAGTTTTGTTTACATGCATCTTGTATGAGGTCTTTAAAATCCTCGAGGTATATAGTTTAGTGTAGAGTCATACAGCACGGAAACAGACCCTTTGGCCCAACTATTCCATGCTAACCATAATGCCAAGCTAAACTCGTCCCAATTGCCCGTGCTTGGCCCATATCCCTCCAAATATTTCATATTCATGATTATATCTAAATGCCTTTCAAACGTTGTAACTGTACCTGCATCCACCACTCCCTCTGGAAGTTCATTCCACACATGAACTACTCTGTTAAAAAAAAAATCCTTCTCCTCTCACCTTAAAGATATGCCCCCTAGTCTTGAAAGCCCCCACCCTAGGGAAAAGACACCTGCCATTCACTACCTATACCCCTCATGATTTTATAAACCTCTATCAGGTCACCCTCAACCTCCTGTGCTCCAGTGAAAAAAAGTCCCAGCCTACCCTGCCTCTCTTTATAACTCAAACTCTCCATTCCCAGCAATGTTCTGGTAATTTTTTTTCTGAACCCTCTCCAATTTAGCAATATACTTCCTATAGCAGGGCGACCAGTAATGTACACAGTACTGCAGAATAGGCTACACCAACATCCTATACGACATCAACATGATGTCCCAACTCCTTCACTCAAAAGGTCTCAGCAATGAAGGTAAG